TTGTGTGGTACATGCAGCTTGAAACAAAACATTGCTAAAACTAAAGCCTTGGAAAACTTCCTTCTATTTATCCCCCCTCCCCTTGTTGCCCTGGCGCCTTAATTCCTTTTCACCTGGTGGTGACCTCTTTCCTTCCTCCCACGGATACACAGCTCCTTCCTGGCCATCAGGCCTGGCCTCATTGCCCATATAAGGTTAAGCTCCTCACCATCTCCCAGTACTACTCCTATTACAACCATTAACTACTAGCCCCTCTCCCTAGTCACAATTGGCAGAAGCAAATCAATCAAACTCCCACTGACTGCTATGCTTTGTAAATTAACAAATTACAACCATTAACTACTAGCCCCTCTCCCTAGTCACAATTGGCAGAAGCAAATCAATCAAACTCCCACTGACTGCTATGCTTTGTAAATTAACAATTGTTGGTTGATGCAGGTTCTGACATAATAACTCTTCACTCCCTATAAGGTTACAAACAAATATCTCTTCGTCCCATAACTCATTCCATATGCAAATCCATAAATCATCAACTCAGCAAAAAGTCCGTAAGGGGTTATCAGAGATTTATAGAAACATGTCTTATTTTAATCTTGGTCAAACAAACCAACTTTATATTCCTTACTTTTACTTCTAACAATCTCAATCTTTAATTCATTTACATGTTGTTATAGGATTTGATCTCTCTTCCATTTTTCTTTTTCCCCATCCCAAAGGCTTCTCTGAGGCTTTAGCAAACCTCTTTTGTAAATCCAATAAAAAGTCATTATCCAGGTCATTCTCTTGGTTTATCATTTGTATTTCCACTTTAGTTGTCTTTTCTGTCTTATAATCCACACTTTTTCTTTTCTAATATTTCTGGTTCTAATATTTCTGCATCAGGAAAAATTTGTTTCACCTTTTTATCCTGTAAATCTCTCAAAATATTCTCTTTCACATCTGCCATTCCTTCATTAACATCTTTTGGACATTGTCTATCCATAGAAGCAGACATCATTGCTTACATCGTAGCTGCTAACTTCTGACCCATTCTTCAAAGATCTCCTGGAACATTTCAAATGTCATAACATTTTGTGTAATTTTGTAAATTCCAGTACTAACCAAAAACAAAGGGCAAGATTTCATTCCCGCCCCCGCCTTTTTCCTTTGCTACTTGGAATCTTTGGTCCCCTCTAGTGTCCAATTTCTGAAGTCTTGAATTTCTGTTAGGATAGACAAAACAACTAAGTTCTCACGAAAGGCTATTTATTTATATAATGATTTCCAAAATCTTAAAGTCCTAATACTCCAAATTTGTCTGGTCCCTTAATTCATTTATAATGAATTTGTATCAGAATCTTATTTAGCTTTTTGCTGTTTATTTCCCATTCTTTAAATTCTTAAGCTTATAGTTAATTTTTCTTTTATTCAAGAATGAAGGTAAATTTACCAGGTGGCTTTTCAAACTTGTCATTTTGGAGTTCTCTATTAGCCTTAAGATAGTTAAAAAGGTAATTTCTGAAAGTCTTTAGAAAGTGAAGGTAGTGAACCCAGTGTCCTTTAAAAGGCTCCACTGCGATGGGGAGCATGATGGCTTCCCTTCTTCTCCCAGCACTCAAACCCACAGGAGACTGCTATCATGAGGAGCAGCCATCTGGAGCACATGTGGGTAATCTCCTGTCCTCTCCTTATCTGGAGGGGTTCCGTAGGACCAGTCTACTCACCAGTTCTTTGGTCTGTGCTACGGTCATTGTCTCCGCTCATTTGGACGCATGCTAGTTCACCATTCCTCCCTTGGAAGTTTATGGCTTCCAAGCCACTGTGCACCTATTGTCAGCCTCACTAGGCAGACCAGACCAAGAAATCAACTTCATAGGAAGGCTAACACTACTTTTATTGAGATTGGCTATAATAACAGAATCTTGCAAATCTGATTGTACTGTACCTCCTCCTCCTTTTTATAGTTCAGTGAATTATACTGAAGGGAGATGTGTGTCTGAGCTACTTCTGAATATTATTTGGCTGTTGTAATTTAAAATAACTTGTTGCCTTGTTGCAAGCTTGAGGGAGCTTGCATATCTCCCTCAGGGTCATCTTCCTTACTCTCTACATCCAATGAATAGTCCCACCACTCTGCCCAGCTTCAAAAATTCCGGCAAGGAAGAAAGTGGAGGACAGCAAAGCACCCAATATAGCTTAGTGGACATCTGAAGACAAACAAGAACACATATCAGTGATGGAAAGAGACAACCCAGGAAGAGTACAGACACACATCTTTGTGAAAGCACAATCTCAGAATGAATTGAGATTGGGAAAATATGCTGAGATTAAGAACCACAAATATGATTAAAATACAAGGTAAAATAAAAGAATCAGTGTACCAACTGCTCAGTGAAGAGGATCAAAAGTAACACGACCAGAGACCAAAGTCTCAGCACATCCCACCACTTGATCAAACTTGTCTGTTTGGCTCAGAAGCCAAATAGAATCAGGCCTGCCCACTGTAAGGTTATGCCCCGTTTGACAAGAGAAACTCCCATGACACGTGTGGTTCACAAAAGAGGTTTACTCAAGCGTAACGCAACAGTTACAAACAAAGCCAGGACTGGCTTGGCACATTTACATTGCTCATTTATAGTTGTCCCAATTCCCCATGGGCCCCCGTTGCTAGGTTACATATTACAGATTAGATTACAGATTGCCCCCTGTAATCCCCCCTTTTGCTCGAATGGCAGGTTCAGCCCAGTTCTCTTGTTTCTTTGATTGTTGTTGCCTATGGCGTGGTCGTTGCCTTCTTTGGGGCTTCTGTCACGCACACAGCCGGGAGCTCCCCCTTGCGCGCTGATCGCTCTTCCTCAATTCCGCAGCTCTCTCCTTTGTCCATAGCGCCCGCGGCCCTCTGGCGTTAACACAATGCATCCGCTCCAGATTAGTAAAGTGGCA